ACAGAATTTATTACCTTTGGGATAAACAGCTACATAAAGCAACATTGTGCCTCAGATAACAGCATGAATCTCCACAGGCAGGATGGGTAGAAGGAGATGATAGCATGTGGCATGACAGAAAATAACCCAACTCTCCTCCTGATTTTCCGGATGTCTTTGTTTGATTGCTAGAGGGAACAGAATTATGGATCATCTGAATGTTGATTTAATCTTATATAACATGTATGTACCTGCCATCAATTCAAATCCACATTCAACTAGAAAATAGGTACCCTGGAACCTATTTTTCCACTCAGTTGAATTGGTCATAGCCTTATAATGACTTAAAATACTGCCATGAGCTTCAAAAAGGGAATAATGAATACCAAATGCAAAAAAATCTAATGCCCACATCTTCTAAATAACACGAAATACTGCTATTTCTTCATGAGTAGCTTTGTGCAAGCGATACTAGCTGGATTTATACAATACACTAATATTAAACACAGATGGCTAATTCAAAGTATAAGGTAAGCATTGTCATATTAGATACAATTGTATATTCCATGTAGAAAACTACTATGGTACAAAGAACAAAAATATATGCTGTGAAGTTCAGAGTGCCATTTCATAGCCTAATATATCATATAAAAGACAGTGACTATAGTTGCATCAAATTCTAACTAATAATATGTTGCTTTAGAAAACTTAATCTGTTGCTTTAGAAAACTAGCCTTGTGCAATATAAAATTATACTGATTGGATTTGCACAAGACACACTAAGGGATCAAGTAGTTAGCCACATTTTATGCCAGTATATTGCCTTTTTCCTAGGGCTAAGAAGGAATAACTGGCTAAGAGTTATCTAGCTGGCTTCATGCCTGAGGCAGGACTACATTTAGTCTCCTGATTTCTTTTGCAGTGTTTAAAATGATCACACTTAATAGGCTCTCTTAATGAATTTGTTAATTTTTTATAGCTACTCATCTCGCTAATATAACTGTGGGTGGCTTATGAAGTTAAAAATCCAGAAAACAATACAACCAACTCCCCCCCCCCAATAATTAAAAAACATTACAAACAAACTGTTAAAAACTTTAAAACATAATCAGCGGAGAATACCATTATGTTGTAATTAAAAGTACGACTTAGCAGGCTCTCCACCAACATCACTGGACTTCTAAACCAATTGACAAAAGCCATGTTTTCAGGCTCTTCTGGAAGGCCAACAAAGTAGGGACCAGGGCAAATGATATTTCAAAGGGTGGGCTCTGTCAGAAAAAGGTCTCCTTGGATGCCATCAGCTGACGTTCCTCTGTAGACGATCTGCAATATGCCCTTTCTGCCAGATCTCATGGGACTAGTAGATATAATTGGGATGAGGGGCTTCCATAAATATCCCAGCCTCATGTCAAGTAGGGCTTTATAGATAAGCAGCAGCTTGAAGCAAACTGATATCCAATATCAGCCAATAGAGCCGAGATGGCGCAGTGGTTAGGGTGCAGTACTGCAGCTACTTCAGCTGACTGCTAGTTCAGCAGATCAGCGGATCAAATCTCACCGGCTCAAAGTTGACTCAGCCTTCCATCCTTCCGAGGTGGATAAAATGAGGACAGATTGTTGGGGGGCAATATGCTATTTAGTATACTGTCTTTGGTGTAAGCCGCCCAGAGTCCTCGGAGAGTGGGCGGCATAGAAATATGACTAATAAAATAAAATAATATACCTGTACTTGCAGAACAGAGGTGTAATATATGCTGATCTAAGTGCACATAATTGTCCATACTGCTGCATTTTGCACTAGCTGAACCTTCTAGATTCTCTTCGAAGACAGGTCCATGTAGAGTGTATTACAGTAATCCATTTATTTATTTATTTGATTTTTATACCACCCTTCTCCAACAGGACTCAGGGCGGTGAACAGCCAAGATAAAATATAACATATAAAATTTAAAAAACAGTTTAAAAGACATTAAATAATTAATAATTAAATAATTATTTAATAAAAAATAAATAATTAATAATAATCCATCCATAAATTACTTCATTAAATGCAAACATAAAAATGCATTTAACAGTAAGAGTTGAAAGGGACCTTGGAGGTCATCTAGTCCAACCCCCTGCTCATGCAGACCAATACTAGGGATTTGAACCGCCGAACTGCTGACCTTTCTGAACGACAAGCTCAGTGTCTTAGCCACTGAGCCACCTAAAATTAGTGCTTTCAACTATCTGAATGTCTAGATTTCGAGATTGGATACAGAAAAATCAGTACTGTTAGAGCAATTTTGAATTTATGTTTTACAGGAACGGTTTTAGGGATATAAACAGATTAGAGCTGTCTCACATTATTTGCTGGCATCACTGCTCTGTACTATTATGACTCTTTTTTAGGGAAAAAACTGGAGCAGCTTAGTTTCTTGTGTGCTTAGTTTTGAATAATAAAAGCAAACTTATCTTTCTCCTAGGCTAGTTCAAATGCAGATTTAAAAGAAAACAGGTATAATAGTATCCACAAGCTGTTTTACAGTTTTGCTAATGTTTTCACCCCACAGGGAAAACTTTTTGATTTGAGCTAAATTGCTTTGGGTACAAAAAAAAACCTTTGAAACTATTGATGCTATTCTTTTAAAAATGATAAATGTTCCTGCTGTAAGAGAAATAGCTCCCAGGATTAGACTGTATTGTAAAACATGCTTACAGGAGTCAAGATTATATACGAACTCTGACAATTAAAAATGGTTTTCTTTTCATTTTTCTTTCACTTTTTTTCTATCTTCAACCTTGTATCCTTTCTCCATCAGTTTCCAATAGCACCATCTTCAAAACAGGAAAAGAGTAGAATATACTGCACAATTACTTAGTACAATCCACGTAATTGAGTCAGTTCTACAGAACAAGAAACAAAATAATATGTTTTAAATTATTACTAATAAAATTGAATCTGTTGGTCATATAGAACTCTTGAATGGTTTGAATGCTCATTTTTTTTTTAAAAAATGTATTTGTGCTTATGTTATATATCTATTGTATTTATGCTTATATGTTATATTTTGTGCTTGTATGCTATCTCTACATCCTACTCATATCAGTGGATTTTGTAAGTTGGTTAATTTCATTGCATTCATATGAACGAGGCAATAAGTAAATTTAATAATTCCATTATACGGACTACACTTCGGGAATATTGTTTCTGAAAGCTTTATTTCATTATGTTAACTTTTGATGGGAAATTACAGCCTAGATTAAATGAATTGATACCTATTGTTATTCATCTTGCTTCTGAAACAAAAGATATTTCAGCAGCAATGATTTCCGTCTTTGTACAAGAATGCACTGAAAACCTATATTGTAATGACTATTGTGTTTCCTTAAAAACTAACAGTAAGGTATAGCTTCCTCTATTTTCACAATTTCCATTTTATATCTGATTCCTCCAGGAATAGGCCAGGAATAGTGGACACACACCAGTCCTTAATTTTGGAGTTGTTCCTTTTTCTGTGACAATCTTGATTAAGAACTGAAGTAGTGTCATTTTAAAGGTAGGTTGTCATTTAAAGTCAGATATTAAGATGAAGCAATTTAACCACTATTTTAACTTTAAGATTTGTAGTTTGTTAATTCACCTATACCCTAACTTTCCATACTGTTTGGTCCTGGGCAGAAGAAATGTTGAAGTTAATCCTTTCTTCTGATGTAGACACAAGTACTACAGGATGCAATAGTGAGCCGAAAATGGATTGCTCCATTTGTGGTTATTTTTCCTTGTTTTTTTATATATATATATACCTCTCCCTTTCTATATGAATGCATAAAATGAGTATACGAAGTACCACTTCTGTGATGGTTCTTATTTTGACTGGGCCACTGTGGATTTTTATTTTTTTCAATTTTGATGTGATTTGGTCAAGATGCTGTTTTCTAGGAAACTCGGGCTGCTTTCAGTCATTTTTATTTTTGAATATTTTATTAATCAGATTTATATGATATCATACAAAGTGATTTTGGGCAGTGTACAATAGAATAAAATGACAAAGATTAAAAAAACAACAAAAACATATTAAAATGAGAAAAGTATTTTAAAATAAAGCCCCGAGAGTGCAAGAATATCAACCACAGTGGAGCCATTTAAGATTGTATGTTTCCAAGGGACCCCCAGGTCTGATGATATAACCCGCTCTAAACCATTGCAGGGTTGAAGGTTGCCTAACTTTGTGGGAGAATGTTGTGTAAGGTGGGTGTCATGGCAGAGAGAAGGCTGGTCTCCTGAGACCAAATATGAGTTCCTGGCCTATGGAACTCGTAACATGCCTTCTCCACCAGAGCTAATGGGATGGGCTGATATAATTGGGGAAAGGCAGCACCTGGAATTGGGCCTGAAACAGATTGGAACCAACAGTTTATGAAGCTGAGGCATTATATGTGCTCTTCTGCACCAGTTGAAGCTTCTGGATACTCTTCAAGGGCAGCCCCATGTAAAGCTGCATTACAGTAGTCCAATCTGGAGGTGACTAGGACCTGAGGGACTACCAGTGAAGCCTCCTGATCAAAGGAGTACAACTGATGCATAACATGAAGCTATGCAATGCTCCCCCAGCCACAACCTCCCCCAGTTCTTTGAGGAGTAGTGAGTCTAGTAAATCAAATATTTATTTTTTATTTTGAATATTAACAATTGTGATTTAATAAAAATGAATTGCAATACGTAAAACAATTTGGAAATAAATCCCACTGAATCCAGGAAGCTAAACTTTTAGTACCCGTGCATAGTATTAAAAGTGCTTAGGACTGCAGAGACAACTCACGCTTCTATTTTTCTCCCCATCCATTATTAGCGTCAACCCGTTAACAACGCCTATATTATAATTCTTAAAGCGGCAAACAAAGCGGGAGCAAACTGTTTACAACACACGCCTTTAGCGCATGCCCTGTTTAGCTGATTGAAGCAAACAGAGTGCGGGCGAATAATCCTCCCGTTTAGAACGCATTACGTCACAATTTCACATTCTTCCAATGGGTAGTCTGAGACCGGAAGACGACGTGAAGCCCCTGAGCGAACAGCTAGTAGTTGCTCTCTAACCGGAAAAAGCCGTTGTAAAGTCAGTCTGAAGCTAAAATGAATGTCCGGGCTTTCCCGTTACTCTCTGGGTCCTAAAGCCCGCCCAGAAAAAAAAAACCCGGTGCCTTGCAGATTGTTCATATCCGATAGCTTGGCGATCTCATGATTCCTGCTTTCAAATACAGGCGCGGCAAACAGGTACGAAGATGGAAGGGCGGCAGATTTTGACCGTGGTGTTACGGTAGATTGGTAGGAGGGAAGAGTCGGAAACCAAGAGGAGGAGGAATGTTGTGTTTGGGCTGAAGACAAACAGAAACACCGAAGATGTATTGCAAATTTCCGTCGGTTAATCCGGATTGATCAGGGAGGTGAGAAACAGCGGTAAATCCGGCAAATTCTGCAACGGTTGTGGCCCTTATAAGGAGGAATACTCGTTTATAGGAAGCAGGATGAACGTAATATAAATTCACTTGTGGAGTCTTCCGTAGCCCTGAGACGGTATAATGAGACAACTGCAACTTGTTGAACCCTTTGCAGTTTTTCTAAAACTATGAGTTAGGGTCTTAGGTGTGAAGAACTTATTTCGAGTTATCTTGAGTCCTCCCCGATGTGAACTTGCTCTATATAAACGGTAGAAACTTGACAACGTACAAATGTCACCTTTTGCCTCACTTTTAAAGGTGCTTTCCTGTTGGATGATATAAAATCTTACTCTATACCAGTTGATTTAAGGATGGTTCCGATTTGTTCCAACCATTTAAAAATAAGATAAATAAGACCTGTTGCTAAGCAACTTGACTTGAGCACGGGAATGAAGTTGAGAGCAGCCTGATGGCAAAAAGGAATGATGTGACCCTTTAACTGGGTATGATTTTGGCATTCGTCCATTTAGCAAACGTTAGGGAGATGGGTTGTATCCACAGCTCCACCCTATCAGCCGTTTGAGGTTGGCTGGGTCAGGAAACAGACACCCCAAAGATCCCAGAAATGCCACGTTATTGTTGCACTGGGTAATAACTGAGTCTTGATAATTTGACAGTCTCTCCCCCCGCCTTCCCGCCCTCCCCCCATATTAGAGAGGATCAAGGTGGAGCAATCTTGAGTTTCTCATTCCCTCATTCCCTTTCAAGGGTAAACTGATGTTTACACAGCAGCTGTTGATATACTTTCTTCAAGATCATCTTGTACTCACACACATTAGACCAGGGTTCCCAAACTATGAGAGAGAGTTATCACTGAATCCCAGTTTACTGCAAAATTTTTTGAACAATTGCATCCAAGATACTCCAAATTGGAATCCTTTGGAGGTAATGACCTTCTCAAAATCTCCAACCAGAAGACAGATAGGGATAATGGGAGCTGTACAGCTGGATAGCATGATGGGTCCATCAACCAGAATTTTTAAAGAAATGATTACAGAGCCATTGGGTTCAGAATGGTATAAGGTCTCCTGCTTGAACAGGGAGTTTGACTAGAAAACCTCCAATGTCCCTTCCAACTCTGGTGTACTATTACTGAAAAGTTGGGAAAGGCTGTATAAGGCATTAATTTTTAACCAATGAATTGGGAATCACTTGTTAAATTGTGTTGCCACTATCAATTTCTTTCATTGCTTTTTTCAAACTGAACAATGGGACTAGCATATTTATTTTATTTCCTAAATTTAAACCCCATGTTTTCTTCAGGACTCAAAGTAGCTTGCACCAGAATCTGCATTTTATCCCTACAATAATAACCTTGTGGTAGGTAGGTCTGAGGGGGAGCAAGTTCCTGTGTTTAGGGATGGTCTGTCCAGTCTTGGTCCAACATTTTAATTTCTACAGCCACATTGGCTAATTTATTGATTATAGTGGCAAAATAAGAAAATTAGAAACACAACCTACTATTCAAAAAGGTACTTCTGAGTGCATCCCAAATATCGATTATTTTTAAAGATCTAACAAGATTTATATTTTTTCTTAAACCTATTTTTTATTTCTTAAGCTGTTTCTTAATCCTATAATCTATTTTTGTAACATGAAGATGAGAGGAGATAGAAATAATAAAATTAATAAAGAAAATTAAAGTTCATTTTATGACTCTTTGGATTACCATTGCTGCCTTAGTAAGTAAACTATTGAATATATACTTTAATAACAAAGAATTCTAGTATTTGTGATTAAATCCAAATACATTATTGCAAAAATGGTGTGATGAGATGTTTATTTAAATCTGTGTATTGTAGGTTTTAATGTGACTTCAAGAAGTTGGAAAACAAGTGATGTTTGAAATCTGGTGCAAACAATATTACCTATGAAAATAGCATTGTATGTTCAGAGAACATAAAGCAGAAAATTAATTGTAATGGATTCTCAAGTGAATTACTCAGTCTCTGAAATGAAACGGTGAGTTTGATTCCTATAATTAACAAAAAATACAGTTATGAAAATTTCTATTCTCTGAATAGTACACTTGACCATGCAAATTTCTGCCATTTTCTAGTTCTGTGATATGAAATTTCTAATAGAATGTGAACTGCAGGAAATACATATTTGGGGGAAAATGTTTAGTACAGATTGCAATTAAGAGTGTACATATAATCATACTGTTAATACTTCATAATTTCAGATTTCATAGTTTGCAGTAATATTACTGCAATAGCCACCAGATAATTAAACTATCCATAGTGCTGATATTTTAGCGGAAGTTCGGCTTTCTGTAGCGTTGTGTTAGCTTACTGTAGTTGCTTTTAAAAGTAACTCCCCACACCTGCATCACAAAATCACTAGCAAGTTTTGGTTGGAAATAACACACAAATATAGGATTGTGCTATAAATGTAACTAAGACAACATCCTTGATAAAGCATTTCTGCAATTCCTTTAAGAATAGGAAAATACTGATATATACACATACATATAAACATATACTATAACCCCCCCCCCATACATATATACGGTTTTGATGGTTTTTCAATCCAGTTTTGCTAATTAACAAAACACTGATCAAAGCAAAAAGGTAATTTAATTTCCAAATTCTGTATTTTACTTACCAAATACAATGGCAACTATTAGGGTAACAAAATGGATAAAATTGCAGCTTCCATTCCAATGAGCAGGACCATTTCAACTGTGAGATTGAAATTACTCCGACAAGTGTACTTAGTCCCCTTCAGAAGTTTGTTTCCATTTTCTCTTTAAGATGTGATATTTCATGAAATCTTTTTTAAACTTTGTATATTGCCTACTGACAATTAAGGTTTTTTTTAAAATGGGGCAGCTTGGCTTTTCCTCTTGTTTTATCATGTTTATCATGTTTATATTTTTATATCTGTATCATTGTTTTTATTTCTGAATTGTTCCCCCAGTCACTTCCTATGTTATATGAAAAGTGGATGCAGTACTTTAAAAGGTTGCTTTGTTTTCCGTCTATGGTATATTATATTAAAAAAATGGGTATTTTATCACACTTCCTCAACTGTCAATGCAAGGGAAAAAAAACCCCTTTGTTATTCCATTGGAGTGGTTGCTATAGTTACCTCAGTAACTTAGATATAAGATCTCATCTTGTTTTGTGAACTTCTCCCTTTTATTTGAGAAGCTGAATAAGGTTTGTTAATTAAAAATTATATACAACTTTCATATATTTTATATTTTGGTGCCTAAAAACATAACATTAAGAGAGTTGTGTGCGTGCATCTTCCAGTAATTATGAATTAATAGTAATTACAGTTGAGGCTAGGTTTGTCAGGGTAAACTTATTTTCCCTCAGCATCAAGGAAGCCAGTCAACATCTCCCTCTGTTTCTCATTAAATGAATGTATGGGGGCTGTCAAAATGCAAAATATCTATACTTTAAAAGCTGTGCACACGAAATATTTTATTCTGTTGCAGTTATCATGATAAGCCATTCCTCCTGGACTTTTCCCTTCTACAAAATTATTAGAAATGCATTATTAATGATCAATGCTGCCATATTTTTCTAAGTAGAGTAGAACAAAATAAACATTGTTTTTAATTTTATTAAAATTAAAATTTATCACGAGTGGCATAATTTGTGTTTATTTCTACCCTGCCTTCATTTTTCAGGGTGACTCACAACCCTGTGTGTATGTGTGTGTGTGTGTGTGTGTGTGTGTGTGTATGCCGAATTTTTAAATCAGTAGAGTCAGTTAGAATTAAATACAAAAAGTTGATAATCTTTAAAATGTCCTTCAGTGAACTGCAGACGCAGATGTAGGTAGCTTCAGATACATTCTTGAATGCAATGGTTGTGAACTGGAAGCAAAACAGTTCCATTAATAGCCACCTCCAGAGTATATTGCCTTAGAAACAAATCTTATAAATTGAACGGGATTTAGTTCTGAGTAAGAAATTCAACCTTGCTGCCTCGATTATTTGAAAATTCAGAGCTGGTATGACTGAGACCATTCGTGATGAAAAACCCTTCTATTTTTAAACAGGAACTTTGGAAAGACATTTCTCCACAAGCACAGTGAAGCTGATATGGAAACAAAGGAAGATCTAAGAAGGAAACTCCATCAAGCCAAGAAAGATAAACTTGACATAACTGCTAAGCATAATGCAGAGGTAACAATTTCATTGTTGTCGGGCTGGGTGTGCAACATTCTTATACAAACTACTCAGCCTGTTGATGTTGAAGGATGGATGGCCTTCTCCAACTTGCCACATTTCTGATGTATCTAAAGCAGAGGTCTCCAACCTTGGCAACTTGAAGCCTGGTGGACTTCCACTCCTGGGAGTTGAAGTCCGCCAGGCTTCAAGTTGCCAAGGTTAGAGACCCCTGATCTAAAGGACTACATCAGCCTTCCACAACAATGCTAATGAAGGGATTTGTATTAAACTTGTGCACTCTTGGACCCTGATTTAAAAGAACTTCTCTTAATCTTGTCCCAATTCTGTCTTTGTGGTATTAAAGTTACTACATCTCTTAGAGCAGCGATAGTGTTTTTTCATTTTGCAGGCTCACACAAAAGCCTAAAAGAGGAAGCTGCTTTAATGAGTGCCAGAGGTACTGTGCTTCATGTGATCCAACGCACTTTTAAGTCATAGTCAGAACATGGAAAGCCATATTTAAGATACTTCCGAATGTTTCTTTTTTTTTTTCCCTTGGATTTTTTTCCACCTCTTTTTTTTTAAATGAGAAACCAGAATATGGGTATAATTCTCATGGGAATAAAACTTCATTTATTTTTTTAAAAAACATATGATAGGTTATATGAGATTAAAAGAACTCAATAATCTACCTTAGTGAGTCTTCTAAGGTAAATGTGCTTCTAGCATTTTAAAAAAAAATTGTTGAACATAATTTGCTTTTCACATTGGAGTCCCTGGCAATAGTTTTATTGTTCTTTATTTATAAAATGGTATTAATAAAATTTGTTTTATTATACAGTATTATACAATGCATTATGTTATTTTGATACAGCAGTATTTATACAGTGTTGACTAGAGATTCTTAACACTCTAAGGCTTAGATGACTATTCAAAAGAAATAGAAACGGCATTATATACTGGTGTAGGTTTTCATGACCCGTATCTCTTGGCAGCATTATGCTTCAGGGTTTAGTGATTGTGGTCTAGAAAACAGATTTCTTGATGTTTCACTGGGAACGCTACAGGCGCCATCCACAGTTGCCAGGAAATGTCAATAAATCTGTTTTCTAGACCACAATCACTAAACCCTGAAGCCATCACTGCCCAAAAGGTATTAATCAGTATGAACTGTTTAAGATGTTGATCTTAATAAACATAGGATTATTGAGCTTTTACAACCAAAGCTGAATGTAAGGGGGTTGTTGTTTAAGAAATACAAGTCAAAAATTCTCTAGGGCTCGTGGAGTTAATTATGTACTCAGTCAGATTCCCGCTGTAATTTCCATCTTGCTTGTAATATAATTCCTGTTGGACTTGGAAGGAGGCTGGAGATAATGCATTTCTCCTCAATGGATGACTAGCCTGAAGGCTGCATGCAGCTTCCAACTCATTGAGATTGTTCTGCAGAAATTCAGCAGCAAAATGAGGAAAATTTGATTTTTTGATTTTTGTATGTTTTCTAGGCTTTGCGGTGGCTTTAAATATAGGAATAGAAGCTCTTTGCCTCCCTGAAGCCTCCTCTTCCTACGTTTAATCTTTCCCATGTAAAAGAAACCCCAACAACCCAGAAAAATAGCTTCAAAAAGCTACTTATCTTCTTCACAAATATGTATGGATAATCTCCCACAGTCCTTATAAAGTTGGGGTGCTAAGATAAACTCCCCAATTTTCAAAAGTAGAATATTTTAAAAGAAAGCAATTTCCAGTATTATATCATGCTGAACTGCATTGCAGTGATAACTGGAAAGGGAACATGCAATATAGGCCTGGCTGGTAAGTTCTCACTTAACAACTGCAATTAGGACCAGCATCTCCATTGCTAAGCAATGCAGTTGTTAAGTGAAACATCACATGCCCATGTCCAATTTATGATGCCAGTTCCACCGTGGTTGTTAAGAAAATCATTTGCAGTTGTTCAATGCAGCATTACATTTACTACGACTTGCAAGTTACTGCAGCATGTGAAGATTGCAAATGGAGATCATGTGAGCCTGGGACTATTGTAAGTTCAAGGACTGGTTGTAAACCTACTTTTTCAGCACTGTGGTAAGTTTGAACAGTAGCTAAATAGGTTAGTCAGTAACCAAGGACTACCTTATAAAATGATTTAAGCAGAAAGTAAAAATAATAAAGAGTCTTGATGTGCAAAGCCTATCTTCCATTGCATATGAGCTACTGTAAGTCTCGTTAATTCAACAGTGAAGAAAACACCTCAACAATTAACAAGTAAAAAGTTAGAATTTAAAATCAGCTAACAAAGCAGCATTCAAATGAAATGAACATTTGAAGTGAACAAGTTACGGACATTGTGAACGGAAGTATGATGAAGTTTATGCAAACTTTGTGGTAATTTAATAGACTTAGACTTTCACGTTCTAATTTTCAGAACGTGAAAGTGAATTGTGAAGTTGCTGGTGGTAATAGAAACGCAGCAAAGACCTGTATCCTGATGTTAAAAGAAGCTATCAATGAAATTGATGAAACAGCACAGTAGATCCTTAGCTTTGATGGCACAGAATTGTTCTGGAAGAGAACCGTCAGAAAGAATATACACTTCCAAAGAGGAAAAGACAATGCAAGCTTTTAAGGCTGTGAAATATCAATACAGGCTTTTGTCTGCAGCTATTGTAGCAGGATATGACAAACTAAAACTGTCTATCATTGGAAAACCTTTCTCCATTTAAAGGCATCAAGAAGACTATCCTTTCTAGCTATGCATTATTGTTCAAATCCAAAAGCTTGGAGCTCAACAGCTTTATTTCTAGACTGGAGATTCATCAATTGTTTTATTCCTGAAGGGGAAACACGCTGCAGAGAGGAGGACATACCATTCAACATTTTGTTTTGATTTTTATGGATTTGTAATGTTTTCCAGTAAATATATTAATTTTCAAGTAGGCAATTTAACAGTCATGTAAAGGCATTGTGGCATCTTAACAATAGGCGAAAGAAGGGGAAAAAAAGGAAAATTCAAATGATTTTCACAAACCCTTCAACCTAATTTGTTTCAAGGGCATCTGAGTGTAAAGAGTTACATAATATGAGGATTCAAAAAATAATTTATGAGTAGTTACATGTAAATTTTTAAAAAAACATTATTTCATTTATAGCTATCAAATTATGAAAGCCAGATTGCAAAACTGCGAGCAGAAGTTGAGAAGAGTGAAGCTGTCCGACAAAGTCTGGAGTATGAATTAGCTGTAGCAAGGAAAGAAGTTGGTATAGAACGGTATTCATCAGAAGAAAAATTAGGTGGAGCAAACAAACAAATAGAACAGCTGCAAGGTAAAATTCAGAATATTTACAATAAATAACGAACATATTTGTGAACATTTCCCCTATGAACATAATTCATTAACAGTGTTTTTCTGACATAAATAGGGAGTTATTATTTTAGGAACACCTTATAATATTCAAGTCTGAATCTCCTGGGTCTTTCCCATTTTGTTACCATTACTGATTGTTTGGTTAAAATCATTATTATGTTCCTTACTTAACTTATCAGATTTAGAGTTTTTAAACTGTTTGACACATTTTCATAGTCAGTTTCATTGATTTTGAACTTATAGTCTATTTTTATTTAAAATGCAATGTAATAATTTAACTTCTAACTTCATTTAACTACATTTAACTACATTTTTTGCTTGGTCTCTTTGTATCAGTGATACATTCATTTTTTAATTTTATTTTGTTTTCTAACAGCAGGTGCTAACAGTTTAGAAAAATGATTCATCAAAATGACATTTGTAATATCTACATTTACTAAACCTTATATTTTTAGTAATATTTTATTACCCATTACTAATATCTGTTATACTTTAATGCAGTAAATATATCAGAATTATTATTTATCTTGTGTCCTGATTCTAACATTTCATTTCATTTCATTTCATTTCATTCCATTCCATTTTTCCTTTTACTTGCTTATGTTTAATAGAGTAATATTTATAAGTAGCTTTATAGCAACCTATATTATACATGTTTCAATTTCTACCTGCTTATTAACTTGGATTTCTTAAAAAAAATTCTCAGTAATATCATTTGTTTTTAATAACAAGAGAGTCAGTGTCTATATAAATTAAAGATGGGAAAATATTTGGTCTCCAAGTCCTTGCAGAACTGGTACATAATTTTGAAATTATTGTGGTTCTGTTGGGTGCTCATTACTACCTAATTAAAAAGATATTAACATCATGATTATGTTGTATACTTGGCTGAATAGCAACTTTAAACAATAGCTAGTGGATTTTTTGTTTTCCAGCTATAATAAACTGATGCCAGTTAAGCAAATTCATAATTTACATATAACTAGTAGCATCCCCCCCCAAATTTACTCTTTTCTATAAATCCATTAAATTTTACATTCTTTTTCCTGATCAGTATTAATTGTCTATTCCTGCATTCCTGCAATTGTTTAATGTAAAATGTAAAATGTTTATGTAAAAAGGTACATGTTCCTTGTTAGGGCTGTAGATTGCCCCCAATATGTATGTGTCTAGCTGTCTTACTGTGTTCTTAACAAGACATTGTAGGACAGTATCTGTCTAACACATCTTACTGTCAGCCACTTAGGGATATCTTCAAGATTTATACATTGGCATTTTAATTTCATTGGTTTAAGGGCTGTGACTTAAATACTTTAAGGAGACCGTTATTAAAACAAGTAGGCAAGAGTTTGTAGAAAACAAAGTACTTGGTAGGTGTTTTAAGGCTAGATTTGTAGCCTTAAATATAGATTTATATTCATAGATTATTTACAAAATTATCATTTGGGATAGTATATTGTCCTGAGTATTTTATTTATTTGTATCTAATATTCCTTCCTCCTACAACAATCCTGTGAGGTGGGTTGGGCTGAGAGAGAGTGACTGACTCAGGGTCTGGCTTTCATGGCTAAGGCAGGATTTGAACTCTTGGTTCTCCCAGTTTCTAGCCTGATGCCTTAACTACTAGACCAAACTGGTTCTTTGGTGTAACAAATATGTATAACAAAACATCTTCATTGATAGAAATTGCGTTTAACCTGTTTTTTGTGCTGTTAATGTAAAATGACTAATTTGAAAGGATTGTTGTTTTTAATAGAATAGTTACTGCAATATTCATTGTAAAATATTTGGTTTGTTGCTTTTTGCATATTGTAGAAGAAGAACCTATGCTACTTTAGTTCACATTTTAATTGTATTTGAGAATCACTTTGCATCTCTTTTCAACAGAAACCATCAGAGGTCTTCAGCAGAAATTGAATGAGGCAGAGAAAACATTTCACATCAATAAATGTCAGTGGGATGAAAAACAGCGAAGATTTATCAATGAGTTATCAGAAAAGGAGTTGCTTATTAGTACCTGTCATGCTGAATACGAAACCCTTTTGAAGGAAAGGATGAGATTGGATGATACTTTGAAGGTAAGCCTTTATTTAGTGGTGTCTTCAGGGAGTTCATTATTGATGATGATGGTTATCATTGGAGCTTTATACTCTATGGCAGTATTTCTCAACTTTAACACTTGAAGATGGGTGGACTCTGCTCCCAGAATTCCCCAGAGAGCCAGTTTGGTTTAGTGGTTAAGGCAAACACTGCCATAGTATAGAGCTTCAATAATAACCATCATTCTCAAGCATAGCTGGCTGGGGGATTCTGGGAGCTGAAGTCCACCCATCTTCAAGTGATCAAGGTCAAGAAACACTGCTCTATGGTATGTGTCAACATAGCATGTATGTACAAAGGGGCAGGGCTTAGACAGCACAGAATTCTGGGAGCTGAAGTCCACCCTTCTTCAAATGGTCAAGATTGAGAAACATTGCTCTATGGCAGGGGTGTCAAACTCCGTTTCATTGAGGGCCGCATCAGGGTTGTGTTTGACCTTGGGGAGCCGGGGTGGGCATGGCCAGGGTGGGTGTGGCCAGCTCGACATCACTCATGTCAGGGGCGCCTGTGGTGGTCCAAGTGTTCTTCCTGTGAAAACGGGGTCCTGAGTTCCCTTTTGGTTGCGACGGCCCCCTGCAACCCTGTATCAGCAAAAACGGAGCTTGGGAGTGCTGCCCGTGGCCCTCGTGAGCTCCATTTTTGGCTGTGATGGCCTCCTGCAACCCTTTGCTAGTGAAAATGGCATTGGAAGTGCCTCTTGCGGCCCTCACGAACTCCATTTTCATCTGCAACAGCCTCCTACAACTCTGCCAGTGAAAATGGAGCTTGGGAGTGCTGCCAACAGTCCACACAAGCTCTGTTTTCAGATGCGATGGCGTCCTGCAAGCCTCTGCCAGTGAAAACGGAGCTTGGGAGGGTCACACACAGCCCTCCCAAGCTCTGTTTTTGCTGGCATAGGCACTGCAGGCCAGTCCTTCACTGTTTCCAGGGCGGCCCTATGGGCCAGATATAAGCACTCTGCAGGCTGGATCCGGGCCCCAGATCTTGAGTTTGACACCCCTGCTCTATGGTATGCATCAACATAGCATATCTGTACAAAGGGACAGTGCGGTTGCTGTTTTTCTGACCCACTCTTATGGCTGTTGCTGTATTTAATAGAAATGTTATGATTCAGAAGAAAGTAAACATATTCTTATTAGCACAGTATTTTCTGCTCTGTTTTTCCACAAAAATGTTGCTTAGGCTCCCCAATATATATATATATATCTTGCAGTTTAAAAGATACGACACAAACTGAAGAGGGATTCAGTGGGAAAAGGAAAAGAGAAAGTTTAGGCACTTGCAACATTCTGGAACTGACTTCATCTGAAGGAATGTTTGCTTTTTGACAAAGGGTTTACCTTTAAAGCGAATTGATGATTTCATGTTTTCTAGAACACAGTGATAGAGAGGGATGAGCCTTTGTCTTGCTCCGCAGGATGGGGGGGGGGAATATTTTAAATTCAGGGTTGTTTTCCTGGCTAAATATAATAAATCTTACTTTTCGGGCACAGAGGTAAGCAAACTGCTAAACGCTAAATGATTAAGTGGGAGATTGATTTTTTTTCTTTGACACGACAGTGTTCCTTGAGGTCTTAATGGTTCTTGGCCAGTGAAAAGTCTAAAGCAGTGGTTTTCAACCTTTTCTTCACCGTGGGCTCCCTTTAAATAACCTTCGTGGCCATGGACCCCCAAGATGTAACTCAAGATTTAAATAATAATAACATTTCTTCAAGCTTTCATGGACCCCCTAGAGGTCCACTGACCACAGGTTGAGAACCACTGGTCTAGAGCATGGGTATCCAAACTTTTCTTTTGCTTGGACCTCATTGAGTGAAGAGGAATTCTTGGGCCATATATAAAAGATACAATATAGTTAATGTATATAACTCACATAATGTTAAAAGTGTACAATCTTGTGAGGTGGCATTATTAGCTGTCCAGGGCTACACATGGCCAATAGGTCACAGGTTGGACATGCCTGGTTTAGTGTGTGGTGCTCTTTTAAGTTGTATTCCTTGCTTTCTCCAAGACATTCATGATGGAGAATGTAACCTACTCATCTGAGAGTATAGGTTGATGTTCTTTTGGGTGGGGAAGTTCTTGTCCAAGGTACCAGATGTTTAAGGCAAATGTTTCATGAAAGAAAAAACAGTGATTTGTAGTTGAAGGTTGCAGGGTCAGTTGAGAGATAGAAAAGAGTGGGGGCTTTTCACATGTTAAAAATTAGTCTGATCCACAAAGCAGAGATTGACATTGTATGTGCTTTCAGTAGTTTTTGCTCTGCAGTTCCCATCAGCATCACCTGTGCTACAGGAAAGGCATGATGGGAGTTGCAATTCAATAATGTTTACCAATGTTGCTGTCTCTGTAGTAAATTATTTGCCCAAGGCAGAATTTCAAACCTGGACCCTGGTTTGTTCAGATACAATGGCAGTTTTTCTTGCTTATTAAAGAAAGATGTCTCGCTTTCCCTTCAGTGTAACAAAAAATATTATTTTTCCTTAAATCTAAGTACAGGTAGTTCTCAATTTACGACCACAATTGAGCTCAACATTTTATGTTGCTAAATGAGAAATTGGTTAAGTAAGTTTTGCCCCATTTTACGACTTTTCTTGCCGCGTTTGTTAAGTGAATCACTGCAGTTGTTAACTTAGTAACACGGTTGCTAAGTGAATCTGGCTTCCCCATTGACTTCGCTTGTCAGGAGGTCGCAAAAGGGGATCATGTGACCCTGTCACGCTACAATCGTCATAAATATGAGTCAGTTGTCAAGCATCCGAATGTAAATCACATGACCATGGGGATGCTGCAACGGTCATAAGTGTGAAAAATGGTGATAAGTTGCTTTTTTCCAGTGCCGTTGTAACTTCAAAAGGTCACTAAGTGAACTGTTGTAAGTCGAGGACAACTTGTACTATAACTGAATAAAGGTAGAATCGATTCCGACTGATTCACTGAGTGCACAGGAAACCTCATAAAATGGTTTTCTCCTGTCTCTGGTAAAATTAGGAAATAATAACCTGGATCTACAATACAATGTTTGATAGCTTTAATTAATTCCTGTATATATATATTTAAAGCTATATGTAAAGCCTGCAGTATGTTACGATAAGTTCATTTTAACCTGTGTCTACATCAAGGAGACTTTGGAATGCCAGAAGGAGCAGAAGAACGTGATAGAGTCAGAGATCATAAAAGTGGCAGAAGAAGAATTTAGGTGTCAGGCAGAACACTGGAAATCAGAAAGAAATGAACTCCAATTTTTGTTGCAGGTATCTTTTGTTATGTTAGGTAATGCTGCTAAACTAGAAGTAGTCGTATCTTTCTTATAAGCCAAAAATAGTATTGGATTAATTGTTAAAAATACAGGTAGTCCTCGATTAATGACCACAATTGAGCCCAAAATTTAGGTTGCTAAATGTGACATTTGTAAAAGTGGGTTTTGTCCCATTTTATGATGGGCCACAACACAAAAGCGGGATCACATGACCATGGGGCATAAATATGAACCAGTTGTCAAGCATCCAAATTTTAGTCACATGACCATGGGAATGTTGCGACAGTTGTAAAGTGTGAAAAACTGCCATGTTACTTTTTTTTCAGGGGTGTTGTAACTTTGAAGGGTCACTAAATGAACTGTTGTACGTCGAGGACTACCTGTAATGGCAGTACTATTATATTATTTCACTTTTGCCCTTTGGATATTGTAAGCTGATGTCTCTTCTTACAACACGATAGTCAATCTATAATGGTAGACTGTTTCTTCTCCTTAATTTCTTACCTTTAATCTTTTCTTAAAGATATCTGTTTATACTATCTTTGGCCAGAATATCCCAGTCGCAGTAATTCATAGATACACAGAAAACTAATAGCAGAAAATGACCTAGTAATCCGCTGAGTCTGTCCTTCGAGGGTTTTTTTTTTTTGCTTGTTTTCTTTTCACTTTATTTGTTTATCATTTTTAATTATTATTTATATATTTTATTAATGTTTATTTAATTTTTTATTTCTGTTGGATGATGGACAACTGTTTATCCCAAGCGTCTTTAAACTCAGTTACTGATAATTGACCCGCTATCTCCGCTGGAAGTTGGTTCCAAGCTTCCATTTCTTCTTTCTGTGAAGTAATACTTTCTAACTTTTGAACTTCCCTGCTGTCAGTGTGAGGTTATGCCCCCCCCGCCCGTGTTCTTGATTTTTGCTTAATATTGAAAGTGCACTAGTAAAGTCCCAAATTTCTAGACCAAATGATTATAGTACTATATACCTTAGATGGGTATGCCTTAGGACAGTGATGGCGAATCTTTTCGGCACCGAGTACCAAAAAGGTCGTGCGGAAGTGTCGCACATGCCCACGCGCGCTCAACGGGGCCATCCTCCGGAAAAGCTGAACTTCCGGGTAATAGTGCGCATGCGTGCCTGACGATCAGCTGGCTGGCGCGCATGCTGGTTTTCAGCACTGCCACACATGTGAATGGATCGTGCTCCGGAAAACCCAAACTTCCGGGTTTTGGTACGCATGCAGACCCGACAATCAGCTGGCTGGCGTGCATGCACACACTGGTTTTCGGCACTGCCGCGTGCGTGAAGGACAGCCAGAAACCCGGAAGACAAACAGGCAAGGCTGCGCGTGCTGGGCGACATGGCTTCGCGTGCCACTTTGGGCACGCGTGCCATAGGTTCGCCATCACGGCCTTAGGAGTTAGTTAGACCATGGGCTGCAGCTAGTGCAAAGTATTTAAGGAGGCAGCCTGCCGCAAAAATATTTTTGCAGTTCAAAAGGCCAGGATGCTGTACAGGAAGATTCAACACTTGTACTAAAATATAAAAGTCTGCTTAGCCTGGCTATCTGATAGGTCAGCTTTTTTATGTACTGACCCGATAAAAGCAGGGATGTCCTCTTTATGAGGCTGTATCTCTAGAAGTTTACAGTCTCCTAAGAGAAGGTATTCCTGACCCTGGTAATAGACATTTCTCCCTGTTCAGTTATGGTTGGCATCACAAATTGTACCACCTGAAGATTTACTTGTGCACTCAGGTGGTTACATTTGGATTGCTAATGTTTTTGCTGTTCTGTAAAATAGTTTTAATCTGAAGTAAATTAGTACTTTTAGTATATAGAACATTGAATAACAGAGTTGGAAGGGACCTTGGAGGTCCCCTGCTTAGGCAGGAAACCCTATACCCGTGATGGCGAACCTATGGCACGCGTGCCACAGCTGGAGCCTTTCTGCGGGCACGCGAGCTGTTGCCCAGCTTAACTCCACCACACATGCACGCGTGCCTCCCACCAACCAACTGATTTTTGTAATATGTGGGGGGTGGGGGTTGCACGCACATACGCGGAGGGTGGGGGAGCGTGGGGGTGTATGGCGCACCCCACCCACACCCTGTTTTTGGGCCCAGGAGGCTACAGGGAGGCCTACTAGGCCCAAAACGGGGCATGGGGGATGCGGCATGCCCCTCTCCCCACAGCCCGTTTTTGGGGCCTAGGAGGTTGCAGGGATGCCTACTAGGCCCAAAACAAAGCGCAGGGGGGTCATAGGTGCATACACGGGGGAAGCATGGGGGGTCATGCGCATGCATTGCATTATGGGTGTCAGCACAGATGCAGGCTGTTGTACATGCGAACACGCACTTTTGGCACACGAGAAAAAGGTTAGCCATCACTGCCCTATACCATTTTAGACAAATGGTTATCCAATCTCTTCTTAAAAACTTCATATACATCTGATACATTCAGATTGCTCCCCAAATTACCAGGCACCATGTTTTTAGCCACACTAGTTGCAGATTCCAGAAATCTCATGCAATATATCTGAGAAGTTGGAAAAGGCTGCTCTGCATGTCCAGCTCTTTCGCCTCCATATTTTTACCCTGTACAGTAGATACATTACTTCCAGATCTGTTCCAAAATCCATTTTAGGTTAATTTGAGATTAGAAAGTAGAATATAGAGTTTCAACTACTCCATAGCTCTTCATAAGGGTGGAATTAAAACAGTGCCAATCAACAAGAAAAGAGAAAGAGGAGCTAAGAAAGTGACTGATGTTCAAGTAGGGCGATTTTCTGACTACCAATATTTATATTTGTATCACGGGAAACAAAGTAATATCTTTATTGTTTCCTGTGGTACAAATATAAATGTTGCCAGTCAGGTTTATCTCCCCGTATATGCTGAAGTACAGAAGATGTGTAGTTAACTAAAAATTTAACATTAAAAAGTTAACTTCCTCAGTCATCTCAGGAAGATGAGATTGTTTTTAAAGTAATTTTCTGTTGAAAAGGTATTAAGCAAACTCTAATTTACAGAGAACAATGAAAGCAAGGGAAGGAAAAGCCAATACACTGATATTCTTGCAAGAATTGTGTTTATTTGAAAATCAAATGTCAAATTAATAGTGGCAAAAAGGATTTAAAGGAGAAATGATACCTTTAAAAGAAGCTGGTACCAAGTAGTATGGATTAAACTTAAAAGGAGAAAATATCCTAATGTAATAATAATAATCATTATTATTATTATTATTATTAAATTATTATTATTATTATTATTTGTTGCGCTGTGAGGTAGCAGAGAGTAAATCAGGGCTCTTCTTTCTCCTTTATCCTCACAAATAAATTGCTGACCAGATTGATCAGAGTATCTGGGCTGAGGAGAACCTGCTTGGAACCTCCTTGTGCTGTCAAAGCAGAATGGCCCCGAAAGGCAGAGACTAAAGGGGAAGAGTTGGGTCTACACCAGGAGTGTCCAACCTTGGCGGCTCTAAGACCTTTGGACTTCAACGTATCTCTGGGCTGGGGAATTCTGGAAATTGAAGTTGCCAAGGTTGGATATCCCTGGTCATCGACTTTCTGAAGTGACCAACAGGTGCTTAACAGATTTCACCAACCAGGGGGCAGCTGGAGGGGGGGGACAGTTGCCACAGGAAATTCATCCTGGATTAGATGAAAGTGTGGAAAGGGTTAACTTTGCCCATTAAGCTAAGTTATTGCAGTGGTTGGTTCGATTTTTTTGTTATGTGGGAATCCAACCACATATTATAATTAGCATTAAAGCATGGTTTAGGGTCACACATAGATTCAGGGGTTATGTTTTAGTTCAATAGGAGAGAGGCCTGGTTGAATTCAATTAGAGGGAGAATGTATGACGTGGTTGTTGGTACATCCTGAAGCTTGATGAAAATAAGGGGTTTAATCCAACATAGTTTTGAGCAGCAGATGAATAGAGATGGTGAGATTGAAAAACTAAAAATATTAGAAGACATGCTACTGTTAGGCTAACCAGCAGGGATCAACCTGCTTTGTTCTAGCACATCAGTCTGTCACCGTGATTGGATTAGAAGGCTTGTTCTACTGTAAGACTGCAGAGCTAGTTCTAATTTTGTTACCTTTGAATTGTCCGGTGCCTAGAATCTGGGATTAAGACTGCAAATGTTGCTTCAGGGAGAACAAAATTACTCGTTTTCAGTGCAGCTTTAAATACTCTGATCTTGCTGCTGAATTCTTATCAGGCAAACAACCTAATTATATCTTTCCTCCACTCACAGAGGAGTTGTAGGCATCTGTGCTAAAACAAGACCAAGAAGCTTAGGAATTAATGACGGAGAAAGCATTGTGTTAGACAGTTAAGCAGTGGCAGTAAATACATGCCCCACTGAGATCGTTTTGACTGATGTAGCAAGGGAGGAGGTGAAGTGCTCAGGCAGACTAATAACCAGCCTGCCATGTTCCCTTTTCTAAATTGATTTAATGCGTTGCAATGAGAAGTTGCAGGTCTGAAAATTCATAGTCTCAAGACCTTTGCTTTTAATTTCCACCATGAAACTCTTTTGGATTACGTTTCTCGGTGACTAAAACACAGAACTATTCAATGATTTCTGGATTGGACTTGCCTTTCATCATTACATTCTCCTTCTCGTCACAAATGCTCTTACGTACCAAAATTGAGGCAGAGAAACACGTTGCATTATCAGTTAATAAAATGATGAGCTGTTTACTAAAAGCAAAGCCTTAAAGACAAAACATCTCATGTTTTGCAGCTGACTTTATTAAGGTTTCACTTCCTCTGTAGAGGTAGTCCTCCTCCGGGTGCCGTCCGCCAGACAATGTCGGCTGGCGACCCCCAGGGGGAGAGCCTTCTCTGTGGCGGCACCCACCCTCTGGAACAACCTCCCCCCAGAGATACGTACAATAACAGACCTCCGGATTTTTCGTCGGGCCCTGAAAACCTATTTATTTCAACTAGCTGGGCTGGCTTGAGTTAAGTTTTAAATTGATTTTAAATCGGATTGTTTTAATTTACGGCCAAAATATTTAATTATTTTAAACTGTTTTTTAAATTTTGTATGTTCTGTTTTTTACTTTGGCTGTTCACCGCCCTGAGTCCTATTTGGAGAAGGGCGGTATAGAAATGGAAACAAACAAATAAATAAATAAATAAATTTACAGCAGTTCATTTAATGACAATTTGAAGTTACAACAGGACAGAAAAAAGTGACCCAGGACCATTTTGCACACTTACGACGGTTGCAGCATCCCCATAGTCACATGATCAAAATTCAAACGCTTGACAATTGACTAATATTTATGACAGTTGTGGTGTCCCTGGCTCATGTGATCACTTTTGTGACCTTCTGACAAGCAAAATCAATGGAGAAACCAGATTTACTCAACAACCGTGTTACTAACTTAACAACTGCAGTGATTCACTTAACATCTGCAGCAAGGAAGCTCGTAAAATGGGGCAAAATTCACTTAACAACTTTCTCACATACCAACAGAAATTTTGGGCTCAGTTGTGGTTGTAAGTCAAGGACTACCTGTATTGAAAAAACAGGGTACGCTCTGTGTGATAGAGGAGTCTATACCCACTTTCAAGCTAAGGAATATATTTGGGTTCATGCTAGGACAGTTCTCTAAAAATTTACTGAATCAGCCAACAAAGAAAGTGAAACAAAGACAGAACCAGAAATCGTTTGAATTAATGGAATGTTATATTTTAACTAACTAAATACTGCTATAATAATTGTTCTTGTTTTTATCTGTCGCAATAATTTTTTAAAAAAAATCTCTGTTGATAGCTTTTTGAAGGACCCTGGGACTCTCATGTTAAGCATATTTGATCATACTGTATAGCCTAGATCCGTGATGGCGAACCTATGGCATGTGTGCCCAAAGTGTCACACGAAGCCGTGGCCTGGCACGCATGGCCTTGCCTGTTTGTCTTCTGGGTTCCTGGCACGCATGTACGTGCGACGATCAGCTGTCCTTCGTGTGTGCGGCAGTGCCGAAAACCAGTATATGTATGCATGCCGGCCAGCTGATTGTCGGGTACGCATGCACGCTAGAACCTGGAAGTTCAGCTTTTCCAGAGCGCGATCCCTTTGCGCCATGGCAGTGCCGAAAACCAGCCTGCCCATGCGTGCCAGCCAGCTGATCGTCGGGCACGCATGCATGCTAGAACCCGGAAGTTTGGCTTTTTCAGAGCATGGCCCTGATGAGCGTGTGCGTACTCGACGTTTCCGCGCAACTGTTCGCCATCACTGGCCTAAATGATTGCATGTGGGTGTCTGTTGTTAGGAAATAAAGGGAACCAAGGAATAATAGTTAACATGTAGGATTTATTGTGGAGGGATCTGGATACAAATATACATTGAAATCGGAATTTCTCTGGGTAATCTTCTGTGGGCTAGTCATGGACTCAGCGCAAACTGGCACTGACGCTGAGTGGCAGTGAATGGGAATGGGTGAATGGGAAACGAAGCGGAAACTGGCTTGAGACTTGTGGCAAAAAGGTGGAATGTAAAGCAAAGGAATAAATTTTTAAAATATACCATAATGTCGATAGAATAATTTTAGTCCTGTTATTTTTATCTAGAAGTACTGTGTTATGTAAGCCTGTAACAAATCTGAAGTTGAAACAGTTAAAATGGCAATGTGAACCTCTAAATGTCCTAAGTCAGGTGTCAGCAACCTGTGGCTCCGGAGCCACATGCAGCTCTTTGGGCCCTCTGCTGTGGCTCCCTGTCAGGTGATCCCATCACTGGCTGGCCCTGCCCCTTGCCCTTCCCTCCCAGTCACTCCTTGCCTGGCCTGAGAAGGTAAGGGTGACAGCGGGTGATGGAGAAGTGGCCAGGGCAGAGACAGAGATACAGAGAGAAAGGGAGAGATAGAGACAGAGAGATACAGAGAGAGAGTTCTAGAGAGCAGGAGAGAGGGGGGAGGGAGGGAGAGAGAGACGTCAAAAGGGTTTTGTGGTTCCCGGTGTTTTTTAACACCCGGTTCTCTGCCCTAATGACTGGCTGGGTAGGCGTGGCTAGGGAGTCATGTGACTGGTGGAAGTGAGTGATATTGAATTGGCCACGCCCACCCAGGTTTTATGGCTCCCGTTGTTTTCTTTTTTGTGGGAAACGGGTCCAAATGGCTCTTTGAGTGTTTAAGGTTGCAGACCCCTGGTAAATGGAAGTTCCTTAGGTAGTATAGAAGGGAAAAAAAACCCTAAAACATTTTTACTTAGAAACTTATTGATAGTACAGATCTTACTTCTAAGTAATGGTGTTTGGGGCTACCGGCAGACAAAAATCATGGGGACCTTTCAGTGGGACAACTATGCCATGCCAATTAATGTGTAATTCTCAATTGTGTAAAGACTCTTGATCCTACTCTCAGATTTAAAGACCAAGAGTAAATTGTCTCCAAATCTTTCTCTTCAGGGAAAATACTGAAGTTGGAACTAATTATTATTCTCCCACCAGGAAAGCACCAGCACAGTACAGAATGTCCACAAAAAAATACAAGAGCTAGAAAGAGAACATAATGGCTGTTCAGAAGCCTTGAGGCGACAGGCCAGCGAACTTCAGTTTGGTGCTGAGCGAGAGACTCGGCTTAGAAAAGAACTTGAGGTAAGAACTTCACCAAATAATGAGGTTGATATCCGATAGCTGCCTTCCGTTTTGTTCCTGGGGTTTGTTTCATTGCAAAGGAGCCGTTAATAGCGAGGAGACCTTGTGGAGGCCCTTTGGAGTAAAAGTTGATAAGGAAATACCAGCGAAAGGCCCTAAAGGAAAGGAAAATACTTTAAAAAGCAGTTTCTTCCGTAATTTAAGTCAGATAAAGGAGGCTTTTCTCTTATTTGCACAGCTTTGGCGTAATGAGTTTATAAATCCCTATAAGAGGCCTTGGGCTTTGGCCAGAAATTTCCACTCACCTGAGAGTGGATTTTGTCAGCTCCTGTTCTGTTTTGCGTTGTGTTATACAGGTAGTCCTCAATTTACGACCACAACTGAGCCCAAAATTTCTGTTGTTAAGTCAGACATTTGTTAAGTGGGTTTTGTCCCATTTTACAACCTTTCTTGCCACAGTTGTTAAGTGAATCCTTGCGGTTGATAAGTTAGTAACCCGGTTGTTAAGTAAACCTGGCTTCCTCATGGACTTTGCTTGTCAGAAGGTCGCAAACAGGTGACCTTGGGGCACAGCAACGGTCGTAAATACGAACCAAAAGCATCTGAATTTTGATCATATGGTCATGGAGATGCTGCAGAGGTCATAAGTGTGAAAAACAGTCCTATAAGTCACATTTTTCAGTGCTGTTGTAACTCTGAACAGTCACTAAATGAACTGTTGTAACTTGAGGACTGCCTGTATTCTATTAATACTTGGTTTTGTCCTGATACAGCTTTGTATCAATAATTTTAAAAGAAGAGTTTTTATTACAGAGGTTATCTGTTTGTGGTTCAGGCGCCAGATTAGAAACCAGGAGACTGTGCATTCTAGTCTCACCTTAGTACAAAGCCAGCTGGGTGACTTTATGGATATAGATACAGATATATTCGATCAAATGGCAAACAGGCACCGGGAAGTGATACCCATCTGTCAGTTGAATGGATCCTGTTGATCAGTGGTGGGTTGCCCCCGGTTTGCACCGGTTTTATAGAACCGGTAGTAAAACTGGTGGGAGGCTCCGCCCACCGACCCCAATGTCATCAAAATGCTTCTGCGCTTGCGCAGAAGAGCGTGTGTGCATGAGAGCGAAGTGCGCGTGTGCGCGCGGCCCCATTGCGAACCGGTAATAAAGGTAAGTAACACCCACCCCTGCTGTTGATTGAGTGAGGTCTCTCTTTCCCTGTGTGCCCCTCAGAGGAAGTTGGTTGCATAAGCAGAAATTGGCTGAATAGAAGAGGCCTGAACCACTCCACAAATAAACCTCTGAAATAAATCGACACTAGGCAGCGATCTCCAGCCTGACGCCTTTCACAGAGCTGCTCCCATTACCCACAATCCAAGAAATTATTATTCATTGTAATATAGACAGTCCTCGACTTACACCCATAATTGAGCCCAAAATGTATGTCGCTAAGTGAGAAATGAGTTAGTTAGGTGACTTTTGCCTCGCTTTACGACTTCTCCTGCCACGTTTGTTAAGTGGATCACTGCAGTTGTTGGGTTAATAATCCGGTTGTTAAGGGAAAGTGGCTTCCCCTGTTGACTTTGCTTATCGGAAGGTCGCAAAAGGGGATGACGTGACCCTGGGACACCGCAGCCGTCGTAAATGCGAGCCAGTTGCCCACCATCCGAATGTAAATCACATGACCATGAGGGATGCTGCAACGGTCATAAGTGTGAAGTCACTTTTTCAGTGTAACGGTCACTAAATGAACTGTTGTAAGTGGAGGACTACCTGTACACCCAGAGGGTATCAGGTTGGGTAAGAATGCCAGGAATAAAATAGGGAGGGTGGATATAGAGATAGGATCCACCCCAAATCATCAGTGTGCTGCTATAACATCTTTTTATTTCTTAGAATGCAAAGAAAAAGAGGTTGCCCAAAAGTTTGTTTGGAAACAATTTACAGAGTCCCTGGAGAGCTTTTTTTTAATGAGCAACTAGTTTGCTATGGCCTATGGATCTACACAGTTCAGGGATAATTTTTAAAAAAAGAACAATTAATTTTTTTTTTTTATTATGCTAATGTTGAATTAGAAAAAACCTTTAAAGTCTGGAATTACAAAGGAGATGAAATTAAATGGTTTGTGGTTTTGGTCAAGAGCGGAAGAGATTAGGCATTAAATAATAAATCCTAGCAGTTTGAGATAGTTGTTGCCCAATCTTATGTGGAAAGTCCTCTAAATTTTCCGAGAAGAGGATAATCTGAGTATTGGGTATTATTTTTCTTTTAGGTAATTAAGATGTTTTTAAACACAGCACAGGTCAATCTGATACCAAAAGGAAAATGTCGCTTTAGTGTTAGTGTTCCTTTGGTGCCCTCTAGTGGCTTTTGAGGTCAATTGTAGAACATTTAACAGTAATCTCTGTATCCTTGATTCCTGAATTTAAAATGTTAAATTCCTTAACATTTTTTTTCAGTCTATACATTTTCAGGCCTCCTTATCTTTATTAGAACCAGAAAACTGCTGATATGCAATTCTCATTTCTTGGTGTAAAGCCAGATTTTCACACTCTCTTGGCTTAATTTTTGCTTCTTTTTCTTTTTGGTTTTGTCACATAGCTTTTATTATGTATGGACTTATTAAATAAACGTAAACTGAAATATGAGATGAAGGAAATATTTTAAAAGTTTATGGGGAGGAGATAAGAATTTATAGTCTGAATAAATTATTAGGTTATTATGTTTTATGAATTAAGAGGCTACCAGCTCAGTTATCTGGAACTGGAGTCCTAATTTGATTTATTTACCTGCCAAAATCCTATAAAAGTGAAATGTGTTGTAAATAAAAATACCCCTCCTGCCCTAGATGTTCTTTTTACTGAGGTTAGCACATGCAGCCAAACAATTTCTGCATTGGCTTTATAGATAAGTCTTTATTTTTTCCCCAGTGTCTTGATGTTGATGGAACCATTAGGTGCTGGAATAAAAAAATGGATGTGTTTAGATGAGTATGTTTTAACTAGTATGGATGTTATCAGAATATGTTATCAGAAAAACAGAGTCCAACTCCCTACTCAGTCAGGAAACCCTATACCTTTTCAGACAAATCAGTGTCAGAACAGTTTACCTCTTTCTTTTAGAAGAGCCAGAGAATCTTATTTTTTTTCAAAGAAAAACTAGGAATAAATTTTTAAGCAATCTACTCCGGAAATGTGGATTTTTGTAGTAAAAGTCTCTTTATTCATTTGTTAGCTCATAGCAGGGATGAAATCCAGCAGGTTCTGACAGATTTTGGAGAACTGGTAGCGGAAATTTTGAGTAGTTCGGAAAACCGATAAATACCACCTCTGGCTAGTCCCAGAGTGGGGTGGGAATGGAGATTTTGCAATATCCTTTCCCCAGCCCAGAAGTGGGGAGGGAATGGGGATTTTGCAGTATCCTTCCCCTGGAGTGGGGTGGAATGGAGATTTTGCACTATCCTTCCCCTGCCATTCCCACCAACCCACACCCACCAAGTATACCATGCCTACCATGCCATGCCCACAGAACCGGTAGTAAAAAAATTTGGATTTCACCACTGGCTCATAGCTCCTAGAATTAAGGAGAAGTTTCCTAACTCTGAAAACAATTAACCAATGAAACAGCTTGCCTTCAGAAGTTGTGGGTGCTCCATCACTGGAGGTTTTTAAAAAGAAACAGGACAGCCATTTGTCTGCAATGTATAGGGTCTCCTGCGCAAGCAGCGGGATGGACTAGAAGACCTCCAAGGTCCTTTGCAACTCTGTTATTCTGTCCTGTCCTGTTTATCTCTTCGTTAGCCTTTCCGCAAGAGGACAGGTAGTCATCACTTCAAGATGGTAATTGAGAGCCGCAACTTTGTTGCTATGGTTGTAAAGCTTGATGGTACATGACTGCGCCAATTTACAATGGTCATTGCGGCAGTTCCATTTGCCTTCATTAGGCAAATCCTGCGCGATTGCAGGGTGTTGTGGTCATGTGATTTGCCGTTTGTGAGTTCCTGCAGGTTTCCCCATTGACTTTGCTTGCTGGAAGTCAGCAGTGAAGGTCTCAAATGGTGATCACGACTGCAGGATGCTGCAATGTCATAACTGTGTGTCAGGTGATGAACACCCAAATTATGATCATGTGATCGTGGGGATGCTGTAATGGCTGTGACAATGAAGACCTGTCAAACGTCCTTCTCATTCAGCGCTGTCCTAACTTTGAACAGTCATTGAATGTCGTTCAACAAGGATTACCCGTACGCCAGAGGTGGGTTTCAGCAGGTTCTGACCAGTTCTGGAGAACCGGTATCAGAAATTTTGAGTAGTTCGGAGAACTGGTAGTAAAAATTCTGACTTGCCCCACCCCCATCTATTCTCTGCCTCCCAAGTCCCAGCTGATCGGGAGGGAATGGAGTTTTTGCAGTATCCTTCCCCTGCCACACCCACCATGCCACGCCCACCAAGCCATGCCACGCCCACCAAGCCACACCCACAGAACCGGTAGTAAAAAAATTTGAAACCCACCACTGCCGTATGCAGTATGGATTGATTATTGAGGCTGTGTAAATCATTTAGAGGTGTATTTCATGAAAGCAACTGTTCAAAATTACTGTTGAAAGGATCTAAAAGCAGCATCCTCTCAAATGGCCAGCGTAGTCACCACAAGAACTGTTATATGTCATGAGCGTATAGAAAGTCCTCAACTTACGACTATTTGTTTAGTCATGTGACCAAAATTTGGACACTTGGCAACTGGCATGTACTTATGACAGTTGCAATGTCCCAGGGTCATGTGATCACCTTTAGCAACCTTTTGATGAGCAAAATCAATGGGGAAGCCAGATTTATTTGGGTGAGTGGTGCAGCAGACTAATGCTACTGTTAAAGGTAGTATTTAGCTTTCAGCTGCCTGCTATTACTGCGAGTTCAATTCTCACCAGGCTCAAGGTTGACTCAGCCTTCCATCCTTTCTAAGGTAGGTAAAATGAGGACCCAGTTTGTGGGGGCAATAAGCTCACTTTGTATAAAATATACAAAAGTATGACGGCTATTGCTTAATGCCTTGTAAGCCGCCCTGAGTCTCCGGAGAAGGGCGGCATATAAATCAAATTAAAAAAATAATAAAAAAAAAAGTAAAAAAAAATAATGAACAAATGTGTTAAACAAATCTAACTGAACAATCGCAGTGATTCACTTAACAACAGTAGCAGTAAAGGTCATAAAATGGGACAAAACCCACGTAACCAAGTGTCTTGTTTAGCTAAAGAAATTTTGGGCTCAATTGTGGTCATAAGTCGAGGACTACCTGTATGGGTTCAAGGACAATTGATGCTTTGACCATCCTGCTGAAGTGAAGTATGCATCAAGCAGTGTATTTCAAGGGCATTTTACTGGTTCTCTGAAAGGCCTCTCTGAATTGTTTTGCACAGATATTAATTATAATTTATAATAAAAAAATGGGAGAGATTTAAAAACACGGCCACCCTAGAGAAAGTGTCACAACCACGTAGAGACCGAAGTTGGGCAAAATAAGGAACCCTTGACCGCCTTTTAAAATGGATTAGATTAAAAGGCAGTATTTGTGAGCAGTATATTTGCAGGATACTGGATTCTGAATATTCTACTGCTGTGGCACCACCCACTGAGAATACCTCCAGGCAATAAAGTTCTTATGAAACAAATATCTGGTTATTTATATATGAGAAGACGATCACTTAGGTATGCTGAATGTGGCCCTTGTAAAACTTCACAGAACACGAATCAATCTGGAAGTAATTAGGAGCCAATGCAGTTGAGCAAAGTTTGGATTGATATTAGTCGTACTTTTAAGCTGAGAGTTTCGAGAAGCACTTGAGGGGTGTGTGTGTGTGCTGTTAACCTCTTATTAACTTTTATTTTTTAACAGCTAGCTATGGCCAGAGTAAAAAAACTGGAGGAAAACATCGAGGCAGAGAGGGCGTCACATCTGGAATCTAAATTTAATTCTGAAATAATTCAGGTAAATTGACAAAAGCACCGTATGGAACTGATAAGTGCATTGCAGGCTCTTTGCACCTGGCTGGTTAGCATGGGTTTCATTATTTTACATTTAATCTTACGTTTTTATGTATGAAATGTAGTCCTATTTCAAGAAAAAATCCTTGAAAGTATGTGGACAGTTGGTTTGTAACCAATTAACTAACAAAATAGAACATGCTGGACAACTTGAGGATTTTTATGCCTCAGTCGGCAAGGCAAAGTGAAGTTTAAACATCCTGGATTGGTTCCTAAATTGATGTAGCCTCACTGGTCATCATACCAGACTGGATCAACAGTTATTCTACTAAGGTTAACTCTGTAAAATACAATGAGCCATGGTGGCGCAGTGGTTAGAGTGCAGTATTGCAGGCTACTTCTGCTGACTGCCAGCTGTCTGCAATTTGGCAGTTCGAATCTCACCAGGCTCAAGGTTGACTCAGCCTTCCATCCTTCCGAGGTGGGTAAAATGAGGACCCAGATTGTTGGGGGCAATATGCTAACTCTGTAAACCACTTAGAGAGGGCTTTAAAAGCACTGTAAAGCGGTATATAATGCTATTGCTATTCAAGGGTGGTAAATAGTGACGAGTTGGCTATAGGATTATGTCTGTGGCCTTTTTCATCATTTGTCTGTTTCATCTTCCTCTGATGATCTCAAAATTCATCCTGAAGCAGAACCCTCATAATTCAAGTTCTGTAACTAGCTGCACATCCTGCTTTCAAGTCTAGGAACTGAAGTGAATTCTTAAGGCTGATCTGCAGAAAATAGCAAACGAATGGAATAGCTTCTGGGTGCTCCATCATTGAAGGCTTTCAAAATGGACAACCATTTGACTGAAATGATATAGGACCTCCTGCTTGAGCAGGGGGCTGGACTTGAAGAACTCTGAGGTCCCTTCCAACACTCCATTATTCTATGTTCTATGAATGCCTCTAAGAGGGATTACAGCAGGGGTGAAATTTACTTACCTTCCCTACCGGTTCACTAATGTGCGTGCACCGCGCAATTGTTCGCTCCGCTTGTGCACGCTGTCATCTGCGCATGCGCAAAGCCTTCCATGCATGCACAGAAGCTTAAAATATCACAAAATGATGTCATGACGTCCGTGTGGGTGGGTGGAGCCTCCCACAGCCACCACTATTGGTTCGCCCGAGCCGGATAGAACCGGCTGGATTTCACCCCTGGATTACGGACTAGAAATACCAAGGCAAAATGATGCCCAAAGTACACCATGTCTCTTTTCCATTTTAGTCGTGAAATGTATATGTTTCTGAGCAAAAAAATCTGAGAAGCTTGCCATGTTGATTCTACGTGCTCTCTCAGTTCTCTGTCAAATTCTGAACCAAGGCCCTGTGAATGTGTTTAAACCTGTGTCCTAAGTAATTTATGTCATTAAGATCTTTTGCCCCACTGCCAAGTACCACAACAGTGTACAAAACACCAACCTAAAGTCTAATGGAAAAATTGTTTGTGCACTGTTTATCCAATAATAACTAAAAAAGATGTACATTTCCTGAAAAAGGAAAAGCTAAGCAATGCCAATAGGCATTTTTTTTTCATATCAGTTTTCTCTCTCACTTTTTTTGTTTAGAATCTGTTGGATCCATATGATTCTTTTCAAATGTTTCGAACTGTTTGCACTTTGGTGTAGATGTCTCAGTGCTTTGATTTTTCTATTGATCATGCTCCAACAGAGTCATGGTTAAGGGCAGCAAAAGCTCAGTCTGATTGGGCAATTGGGATTGGAGAAGATTATACATGACCCTGAATTCACCCATTCCCTTAACCACATTGTGATTGCCTGTCAGCATTAATCCCAGTTTATCATAGCCAGTATTTCTTTTAGCTAACTATGGTGATCAGGTGGGTGAAAAGCTACACTTACCCTGCTTTATGTATATAAATCTCTCTCTCTCTCTCTCTCTCTCTCTCTCTCTCTCTCTCTCTCTCTCTGTGTGTGTGTGTGTGTGTGTAATGATTTCGGCCTACCCATTTGGTCTTGCCTCGTTTTGATCTGACACAGAGCGAAGCTCTGCAGCCTCTTGTAATCTTGATCGTTGTTTTCCTGTGATTTTTGCAGTTACGGATCCGAGACCTTGAAGGAGCTTTGCAAGTGGAGAAGGCCAGCCAAGCAGAAGCAATCTCTGACTTGGAAATGTTCAAAGGCAAATTTAGAGAGGTGGAAAATGCCTATGAAAGAGAGAAGCGTAATGCTCACGACAGCTTGGAAAAATTCAGCACGTGAGTGTGGCTTCTTTCCTGACTGAGAATTGGTATTTCTTGAGGGGAAAGATTGACACAGTCCACAAAATACTCATCTGCCCCCATGGGTCACACAGCACAGAACAGATGGTAACTTTAAGTGGGTGATGTGATATGGAGTTAATGGAGTTGCTGTGTGATTTGGCTTCTGTATGGTCATTTTTACGATCCTAAAAGAATTCCATGCCTATGGGTCCCTTTGAAAACTTAGGCTGCAATATTTTTGCCAAATGTTTTGGTTCAACTAGAAGATTGTTCACTGCTTAAAGCAGTGATGGCTAACCTTTTCCGGAATGAACGCCCAAAGCGTGCGTGTGCGCCTGAACCCCCAAAATGCAATGTGCATGTGCCCCCATGTGTGCGCCCCCACGCATGCACCCCCGCGTATGCATGCATGGCTCCCCGCACATGCTTCGCGCATGCATGGCAGAGATCCAACAACCAGCTGGCTGGCGGGAGGTGCGCGTACATGCGCAGCAGAACTGAACTGGGGTGATGGCTCATGTGCCCACAGAGAGAGCGCTGCGTGCCACCTGTGGCACACGTGACATAGGTTCGCCATCATGGGCTTAAAGCAGTGCTTAACAGTTTGTGAAACCTTTGGATTTTTCAATATTTCGGCATAAAGATGACTAAAATGTGATATGTTCTACACATATGTTCTAAAACAATATAAAGGGAAGCGAATTAAACAAATGAGTCAAAATATTATACTTGTTCATTTCTTTATTGAGGAAAATGATCCAAAGCTTAATTGGATTCTCTGATACATTCTCTGATATGCACCTTTTAGAATGCCTTTTGTAGTGATACTAAAATTAGATAGCACAATGTTGAGCATTTGGGGCAATAGGTAGCTCCCTAAAAAGCAATAAATGTTAGTTAAATTAATATTTGAAAATACGCAACAATTTTATTAATAAACTTTAAAGATATATCTATACATATAAATATATAGATTTATAGTTAGTCTTCATCCTAAAAAGGCTATAATTGACTACTCCTGATTTAGTAAATGTGTAAAATGAGAACTCAAACCAGTGTTTAAAACATTTCCTTCATTTTCTCCCACTCCTTCCTTCCTTGCTTCCTTCCTTTCTCCCTCCTTCCCTTCCCTTCCCTTCCCCTCCCCTCCTTCCTCTTCCCTCCTTCGCTTAGGAATGTTAAAACGGACCCTCTTCCTGCTTGTAGAAAGAGTTTGAGAAGGACTAAGTTAATTCATGCCAGGCCAGAACTGGGAAATATAGGAAATAAAATTGAAATAAAAAGTGCAATAATGTACATTAGAGAACATATTGAGTAAATATTTCTGAATATTCCTGTCTTATTTTTAAAAAAATGGCCTCACTGCACACTAGAAGTTATCTTACAGAATTCTTCCTTTAACGTATCTGGTATTAAAAAAATACTACCAATTCCCTCCGTGTTATTTTACTCTTATTACAAATAGCCCAGATAAAATATTTGATAGATAATATCAAACACTATTTTTTCTTACATCACTCATAAATTATTGATCAGATTGTTCTTTTCCAGGATGTTGATTTCAAGCTTCAAACAAAATATGATTTATTGATTCTTTTAGATTTCTAAGTGGATCTGTTAGTAATTTTCAGTATGTTAGTCTAGAATTGCAATATTGTTTCAATATTCTCTTAAGCGATGGATATGCATATTGCAGTAGAAATTGGGGGGGGGAAACCCCATAAAAATTCTCCTTTATAAACAGTGGTGGGCTGTTGTCGGTTTGGGCGAACCGGTAATTCCGACGATCAGCTAGCCCTGCCCACCCGCCCCCACCCTATCTTGTCCCATATTTCCTTTTTTCTGGCGTAGCTGATTCGCGCAGCACAGCTGCTTTCCGTACCTCTGCTGTTCTGCTTACCGGGGCCACCTTAGAAGGTAAGCAGCTGAGCTTGAAATTGCTGTATTTTGAATGCTGCACGCAAGCGTGTTAGGCGCTCATGCGAATGCTCACAGAACTGGTTGTTAAACCGGTTGCAGTCCACCACTGTTTTAAACTATACTCCAAATGGTTGCTGTCCTTTTATCAGCATATCCTTGGCATTTCACTACTGCAATACATCAAAGCAGTCCCACAGGTGTAGGGAGGTCTGTGTGATTTCTTTCACTAGAAGAACGCAATAGTAGCTCTGCTGGATTCATGTTGGTAACACAGAAGGATAACATGGCTTGATGAGGGTTGCTGTTCCTCTCACTTTATAGTTCTTATTCTTGAAACAAATTTCTCTTTTCTTTGATTTTGTTTTGATATTGGAGAAACTTCAGCAGCAGAGTTTCCTACCATAGCTAGGAACAAGATGTGAGGAGAGATCTTCCCGTTAGTGAAACCCTTTCTAAACCCACTGAAAAAGAAGGAGAGAACTTATTGTACAGACTCCAGGATACTTTCATTGTAGTTGTAATTATAGCAACACTTGGGAAAGCAATATTAAATTTTCCACATCTGATTTGTAGACAATAATACATGAGCCTATATAAGATGTTTCTTGATTCCTACTTCACAGTTTGAAATTTGGGTCCCTCCATAGGTTCTCTGCCCTAATGACCAGCTGAGTAGGCGTGGCTCGGTGGTCATGTGATTGTGTGGGCATGGCCAACTCAACATCACTCACTTTGATGGGTACTTTGCCTTAGCTGTTACAATGTAATAAGGGTTAATCAGAGAGGCAGTTTCTGTAAGCAGGGCAATAAAGATTAGGCTAGAAACAACACCAGAATGTTTCCTTCCTGCCTTCCTTATAGAATTAGCCCTGTAAAGTGGAAAAAACCAAAATAAGACTTCTTCCAACAGCCGGTTCTCCGAACTGCTTAGAAAGTTAACAACCGGTTCTCCTGAATAGGTGCGAACTGGCTGAATCCCACCACTGTCCCTACATTTGGATTACATTTTCTCATGTTATTTTGAAATGTATTCATTGTAAAGAACATGAAATGTGGATGAACAGTTTATTACAGGTAGTCTTCGACTTATGACCACAATTGAGCCCAAAATTTCTGTTGCTGAGCGAGACAGTTTTTACGTGAGTTTTTCCCCATTTTACAATCTTTCTTGTCACAGTTGTTAATCAAATCACTGCAGTTGATAAGTAAGTCATAGGGTTGTTAAGTGAATCTGGCTTCCCCATTCACTTTGCTGTCAGAAGGTCACAAGAGGTGATCACATGACCCTAGGACACCGCAACCATCATAAATATTGGTTCATATGAACCAATTGCCAAGCATCTGAATCTTGATCATGTGACCATGGGGATGCTGCAATGTCATAAGTGTGAAAAAATGGTCAGAAGTCACTTTTTTCAATGCCATTTAAATTTTAAACCACGGGTGTCAAAGTTGATCACATCACAGGCCAGATCGTGATATATCGCAATGGTTTTTTGCCTTTGTGGGGCCGGGGTGGGCGTGGCCTGCTCATGACGTATCCAGCCCACGGGCCTCCAATTTGCCAGGCCTGCTTTAAACAGTCACAAATGGTTGCAAGTTGAAGACTACCTGTATTTCAGATTTTATGTTTGAGCTAGCCGAATATATTTGCTGCCATTCAATGAGTCTAAATAACCTGAATTTGATTATTCCCAGAAGATGTACTGGATTATTGAAATAGATAAAAAGTACCACATTTATTAACTTGTTGTGCCCAGTTCACCCTATAGAAAGGTAATGTTTGTTTTATTTATTTATTTAAAAAAATTATATTGCCGCCAACTCGCACATGGCAAGTCAAGGAGGCTTACAAAGACGTAAAAACACAGTACAAGAGAAATAAAAAGAAAAATAATAAAAAAAGAAAAATAATAAAATAATAATCTCCCAACCCAATATATATTGCTAGTTCATGTGTGATGTGCCATATGCTAAATAAATAATAACACTATAGTTTAGGATTGCAGCACTTATGTCTAGTGGTACCTCAGCATATCTTTAGATTTTTTTTCTGACTTTCTTAAATGTTAGTAAAATGATAGCGTAGACGTATTGTTGGTTCATCGAGAAGAATATATAACAAATTTAAATCTTTCCAAAAATGCTGGTCTGTCTTTTCAGATTACAAAGGGAGCATCTAGCGGCAAACAAACAGCTAAACGAAGAGGTAGAAGAAAAGAAGAAAGTAATTAAAGACCTCTCTGAGACACTCCAGGATAATGAAAAAAGTTACAAAGAATTACAGGCTGAACTTCTTCTGGTAAGAGAGAAACCCTGAGGCATTTCCTTTATTGGTGTGAACATGCTATGTTTATTGCTATATTCTTTTCTCTTTTCTTTTCTTTAGGAACACCTTTCTATATAAAAAAAAGCATTTAAAAGAGTGTCTAATCTTGGCAACCTTAAGGCTTGTGGACTTAAACTCCCAGAATTCCCCAGCCAGCTGAGAAATTCTGGGAGTTGAAATCCACAAGTCTTAAAGTTACCAAGGTTGGACACTCTTGATTTAAAAGATACCCTTTGCCTACGTGTATCAGATTTGTAACCAAATCTGTTCTTGAAACAACACAATTCATAAATGCATAGGTTCAAATTGTGGCCAGCTTGACAGTATAAGTCAGGGGTGTCAAACTTGATTTCATTGAGGGCCACATCAGGATTGCGTTTGACCTTAGATGGCTGAGTGGGCGTGACCGGGGTGGGCATGACCAGGGTGGACATTGACAGCGCGCGGCCCTCTCGGGCTCAATTTTCAGCTGCGACAGCCTCTTACAGCCCTCTGCCAGCAAAAACAGAGCCCTGGAGGGCCACGCACACCCTTCAAGCTCCATTTTCGCTGGCAGAGGCACCACAGGCTGGTCCTTCGCTGTTTCCAGGGCACCCCCATGGGCCAAATCTAAGCACCCCGTAGGCCGGATCTGTTCTGCAGGCCTTAAGTTTGACACCCCTGGTATAAAGTGTATAGTTTGACAACATCCATTAAGGACCAATAAAATAGATGTTGTAATTAGGAAAGGAAGGAATATCTATATTTCAGAAGGAGCTGCATGTTGCTGTCTGAGTTGTTGCGTTACACAACTCTTCGCATGCTATAAATACACTACTCATTAATCCGCCTGATCACTAAGCCTAACCTTTCAATTTGCATATTTTCTCCTCAAAATAAATTTCTGAATCTGAGCGTGGCTGTTTTGAGGTTTGTATCCGTTTTGCCAAAGAACCAGTGGTGGGATTCAGCCAGTTCGCACCACTTCGGGAGAACCGGTTGTTAACTTTCTGAGCAGTTTGGTGAACTGGTTGTTGGAAGAAATCATTAGGGCAGAGAACCGGTTGTTAAATTATTTGAATCCTACCACTGCAAAGAACCCATGATTGGTTTGCACCAAAGATATGAACAAAGAGAGTTTATCTACTGATCTGGAATTTAGCCTTTCAGGCTATGTGAATGCATTCTTGGGAGTATGAACAAAAGTGATTTAATTTAAAGTGTTCTACTGTAAGCGGGTTGTAACCTCTTTTTACTATCATTGTGTGTAATCCAAATTCATCATCTTATCCCAAACTGTGGAAACTTTCTACATGTCCTCAGGTACCAAATCTAGTTGTGAGATGTGTGTAATGGCGGTTAAATATGGCTATGGATCCAGATCCTTTCAGGGTCTTAAAAAGAAATACACAATGGCTCTTTAAACAGCACCTGTGAAGCAGCTGCATTTTATCAACTGAACGGGAAGGAAAAGGGTTGTGCTCCACATAATTTTCTCAATATCATTTTTTAATTTCCTATCAATTAGCTTGCAAAATAGCTAGGAGCATACTAGTAAGGGGAGCCTTGTTTAGTTCAATATTCTGTTTCCTGTAGTAGCTAGCCGTTTACCTACAGAAACCCAAAAAAGGGTAGGAGCTCCCTCTTCCTAATGTTTTGCAGCTGCTAGTACGGTAAGAAAAGAAGAAAACTACTTTTTATTGTAGAAATAACAAGTAGTCACTGATAGCTTTATACCTTATTGCACAGGTGTCAAACTTGCTGTGTCACATTGCCATCACTTGACGTATCGTAATGTTTTTCTCTTTGCGGAGCTGGGGTGGGCGTGGCCTGCATGTAATGCATCTAATCACCTTTTAAGCAGATCAGCTTGATAGCTACCATTGCATCTTACAATACTGAATTCTATTGATTAAGTAGGTAATGTGGGAAGACGTATTTCCTTTTGACTGTCCTGGGCCTCTCCTCCTTCATCAAATGATTATTTTTTCAATATTAAGAGAGATTCTTTCTAATTAGGTGACAGGTGTGACCAAATAGATAGAAAGAGTTTTTTAACCTTTGAGCATTGTGTTTTTCCCACTACAACTTCAATTTTCCCCACATAACCATCGTCAATAATAATTCTCTAAATGAAACTCAGATACTATGGATTTCAGTATTCTGTGTCTCCATGTTCACATACAAGTGGCCTGAGAATAAAAGGGACTTTGAAGTCCTTAACACTTAAATCTTAAAGGTGTTATTTGTTCTCCTTGTTTCTTAAGAAAAGTATCAAAAGATGCCAAAACAATTTGTACCTTGGTGTAGACTTAAAATCTTGGGAGGGTACTGTGTACTACAGGTAGTCCTTGACTTGCAACACTTCATTTACTAAAGGTTCAAAGTTACAATAGCACTGAAAAAGGTGACTTTTTCACACTCCACGACCGTTTCAGCATCCCCATGGTAACATGATCAAAATTCAGATGCTCAGCAACTGGTTCATATTTATGACAGTTGCAGTGCTCCGGAATCATGCGATCACGTTTTGCGTCCTTCTGACAAGCAAAGTCAATGGGGAAGCCAGATTCGCTTAACAACCGGGCTACTAACATTTATTTATTTATTTATTTATTTATTTATTTATTTATTTATTTATTTATTTATTTATTTATTTATTTATTTATTTATTTATTTTACAATTCTACTAGCATCGGTTAAGCAGTGTTTGAACATATATACAGGATATATACATGGTGTCTCTTAAATTACTTATTCCTTTTAGTGATCACACCATCCCTTACTCCTTCCTTAATTTTATCATCCATCCATTTATATCACCCTTCCCATACGGTATAGTAATCCAAATTTTCGTCTTCATTTATCTCATAAGTTAATTTACTCATCTCAGCGCATTCAAATACTTTTCTAATTATATGCTCTTCTGGTGGTAATCCCTTTTCTTTCCAATATTGTGCATATATCAGTCTGGCAACTGTAGTGATGTGTATTATTAGATTCCTCTTTTCTTTCCCATATGCCTTTTTTAATATTCCCAGGAGAAATGTTTTCGGTGCCGAATCAATATCTTCTCCAATTATTTCTTGTATCCATTTCGAATCTTTTTCCAGTATTTCATCGCTTCGGGGCATGTCCACCACATATGGAAGATGGTACCCTGGCGGTGGCCACACTTCCAACAATTTGGATTTATATTTGGGTAAATTTTTGCTAACCTTGCAGGGGCTAAATGCCACCTGTATAGCATTCTATATTGATTTTCTTTGTACGCTACTGCTCTAGTCAATTTATAATTTTTATTCCAGATAGTTTCCCAATCATTCAGATTTATACTATGCCCAATGTTCTTTGCCCAGGCAATCATTTGATTTTTAACCACCTCTTCTGCCCTATCATATTCTAATAAATAATTGTATAATTTGGCCAACATTTTTTTCTCTGATCCCATCAAACCCTTATCAAATCCATTTGATCCTATTTCTATACCAAATTCCTCCTTATCTTTTTGATATCTAGACTTTATTTGTAAGTATGGCCACCAGTCAATATTAATACCTTGTTCTCCCAAGGAATCATTTGATTTGAGATTTCCTCCGCCATCCAGAATGTCCTTATATCTACACATTTTCTCCATTCCCAACCCGGGCTACTAACTTATCAACTGCAATGATTCCCTTAACAACTGTGGCAATAAAAGTTGTAAAATGGGACAAAATTCATTTAACAAATGTCTCATTTGGCAACATAAATTTTGGGCTCAATTGTGGTCATAAATTGAGGACTACCTGTACTACTGGCTTCAGAAGGTGTGCCTGCTGTTATTCTCAGAGTTCCTGGCATACTGAAAGGATGTGAATTGTTATATGTTTCTCTGTTAACATTAATTTTAATTCAAAAAAATCCTTTTTGGCAATTCAACCTAGTTTGAGTCTATTCCTTTCAAATCCTAGCATACTATTGGTTCCTAGGTTGTCAACAGAACATTATCTTCAGATTATTACTATTAAATAAGCTTTTCTCTTTTTGCACATCAGTTCTTTCACAGTGCTATCTCGATATACTACGAAAGCAGTAAACTCCATTTTAATTCTGATTTTGAAGAGACAAAACAATGTACTCCCTTGCTTTGTTTGGAAAAAAAAAGTTCAAACTTTAAATTGAACAATGGAAACCTCAAGTAGATTCGTTGTTGGAAAATACTTAAATGCACTTCTCCATTTCAAGAACCTTCTGTGGATCAAAACTTATTATGTGCTCTCTTGCTATTTTATCTGCCCCAACTGGTATTAAACCTCTTTGTGGTCTCATTCACTGACCATAATTTGGATACCCTTTAGCTGCTTCTAGACTATTAAGTATGGAAGCAATTTAAATTCATATACTTTTAAGACCAGTTAGGGGACTATTACAATTATCTAGTCTGACCTCATATGCATACTGGCTACAAAATTCACCCTGGTTGAATTGAAGTGTACCTTCCACAGAGATTTCATATTTCATTTAGAAACTCCATGCAGTAAGTTGTTTGATAAGTGGTTCACTGTAATCATCCACAGTATATGAAATTGAATCTCTTTATTTATTTGTAACTTTTGCTTTTAGGGATTAAAACGTATTTCACGCTGTATTTGCATTGCCAAGGACTCAGACAGACTCAAATGCAACTCTGAAACATGATTGAAGTATATAATTAGGCCACGGGATTAAATACTTGTCCATCTTACTATAGATGTTTTGACTACGATTAAAGGTTATGTGTTTACTGTTGTTATTTTTGCCTAACACTAAATTCTAACTCTAGTTAATAAGTGGCAATGACTATTAGTAAAATGAATGGGAAGAACTGAAATGGAATAGAGCTTCATTCCAAGGTCCATTATCAATTGCTTCAAATAATAAAGTAATTATATTACATAAACTATTTAATCCTATACCTAGAAATAAGGTGGGTAAATGATTGCAAACAACCTGAAGGCTAATTTTCTAAATCC